GCAGTGTAGAGAAACGAGAACAGCCCTGCTCTTTCTGGCCAGCCTGTCTTTGTATTTGCTGCATTATTCTTGGCACTGAGGCTGGCGGTGACCTGGTACCGAGAGGCCTCCCTGACCCGACAACCAGGGACAGAAAGACATGTGCTCTGGGCCCAATCATGCCCTGGGCACCGACAACACTGACAAGCAGCTCCCAGGCCCACCTTTCTCCTGGGCCCCAGAACACTGGACTCAGTGGGAAACTGGTCAACTGGAGTCGCCTTCTGTGGCTGAACGTGTCAGCGTTGCGGATAGCCCTGCTGTGAAAGGCAGACTGGTTGAAAGCTCGTTCTCACTCCTTTTTCTTTTTTCCCCTCCCTCCCTTCACCCTGGAGAGATGCTGCTGGAACCAAGACCAAGTCCACCTCTTGCAGAGGGAGGAGGCGCTAATGCCTGGGTGTGCTGAGCGTGCAGCCCAGAGAGAGGCACCCACCCTGCTCGTGCACGGAAAGAAGGGCTTGAAGTAAAGAGCAGTGGTGAGGCCACTTGCCTGCCCTTGTTTCTGTAAAGGCCGGCTCGGGAGTGGCACCTCCCTACGGGGTAAATCTCGTGCGAACGAACCGCCGTAGGAACAGCCACAGGAACATGCAGATTCTCTGTGACAGTGTGTCCCCATCCCCCCAAATTCCAACAAACCACCAAAGGTCAGAGCTAGAAGAGCTTCTTCTGGTCCTGCCTCACCCAGCCAGAGACCCAGCTTCTAATCAGGCCCGAGGATGGACATTGGCCTGTGTTGGGACTTCATGCAGGGGGGCCCCCCTCGGGAGGTAACCCTTGCATTGCTAAGCTGGCGTCCGCTGTCGCACTTAGAGCAGCTGATCACAGATTCATTCACCAAAATGACCACTGCACACCTGGGATGACCCACACAGCAGAGGCACTGGGAACCTGACAGGAGCCAGAAGCAAGGTTTGAGAGATGAGCGTGGAAGATGAGGGCAGGAGGCAGGGAGCTGAGGAGGTGGGAAGGGGTGTGGGGAGGCGTGCAGCATATGATTCTCTGCTGGGTACCATGGCAACCCCCAAGCTCGGTACCTGCACTTGTGAGAATCATCATGGTGTAAATAGATCTCCTCCCAGTGCCCACCCCTGGAGGACCCCAGGGTATCCCCACTTGCCCCTTGGGAGAGCTTGTCCACACTGTGGCTTTCACTACCAGCTACTTGCTGATAAGACTTAAACGTGTATTTTCAGCCTGGACCTCCGCCCTGATGGCCAAGTACACATCTGAACCTGGATTTGTCACAGGTAACCCCCCACCCCAAACTGAGCTCCTGATCTTCTCTCCAGCGCCCCCTCTCTTGCAATGTTGCACATCCGGGAAACTATTAAGTCCATTCATACACTGCACAGAACAAAACTTGTGGAGTCATCGACGCCTCGTCTTTTCTCTCATAGCCCACATCTGATGTCAGCACATCCTCTCAACACTGCTTTTGGAATCTGACTACTTTGAATATCTCTATTGCTACCACCCTGGTCTGAGTCACCTTCTCTCCTATTGTGATAACCTCTTCACTGGCCTCCTTGCCTCTTCCCCCCTCTAACCACACTTGAGGGTAGTGTAACCAAGCTGTCAGAGGGAGCCTATTAACCCAGAAGTTCAGATCATCTCTCTCCTCTGCTTAAAATCCCCCAGTGGTTTCTCACCAATCCTTGCGATGGCCTACAAAGCCCGGCGCCATCTGGTCTTGCAGGATCTGGGGTACCACTCAACACACCCCATCAGCACCTGCATGTTGATACACCCACCCACGGGAAGTGCTGGTCCCGGCGTCTGGGATCTCCTAGGTGCCTGCGATCTCACCACCCACCCCACCCCTGCAGGAGAAGGACAGCCCCAGCGTGTCTGGAAGAGGAGTGAGATGTGGGCAGGCTAGAAATGGGGAAAGGGTAACCTCAGGCCAGCAAGACCCCCTCCAGGATGTGGATGAGCCACATGGGCCACGGCCTCGGAGAGAGGCACTTCCTCTCTTAGATTTCAGAGAGCATCTCGCTCAGCTCTGTTTCCCAGCCAGCCAAGGACACCAAGGCCCAGAGAGCGACCTGACTTGCAAAGTTCTTGGAGGTGTAAATAAACATCTACCAGAATCACAACAGTGCGCATGTTCTTCCGCGCTACAGATATGGGCCTTGGACAGACAAGTTGTGCTGTCTGTACACACAGCCCCACAGATGCATGCATCTGTGTGGGTGTGGTCGCCGGTCTCGGTCGTGCTGGCCCCCAGGGCAAGGGGCGGTGCTGACGGGCGCGGGAAGTCTGGGGTGGGGGGGGGAATGCTTGAGGATGCAGGCGGCAGGAGACGTTAATCCTTAACTTTTAACAGCAGGCCAGGGCACTCCCGGGCTTTTAAAAAGAATTCAGGAGCTTCTACTTTTAAAATATGTGAATTCCAGGTGATCTAAAATTTTGCATTTTTGTATTTTTAGACTTTGTTACAGTAATGTCTTTTCAAGATGGTCATTTATTATCCTAAAGGCAGAAAGAAAGTGATTTTTGGTGGACCTTATAGATGACCTATATAGATATAGATTTTTGGGAACCTTATAGATGACTTGATCATTTAAAGTCAATTTTCTACATAAGGCAAGTCAATGCTCTTTTCTTCTCCCTGGTTAAAAAAAAAATCCCCCAAAACTATGCTTCATGAAAAATTCAGAAAAGGACCAGAGCAGGAGAAGATTCTAGGGTGATTGAGAAGTAGGCCCCTGGGAACAACAGAAAAATGAAAGCAAACCTCAGAGAAGGGTCTCCACAGAGAAGCAAGACTGGAGCCTAGTTCCTGCCCTTCATTTTGAGTCCGAATCCAACAGAGAGAGATAGGAAGACATCAGAGACCACTCTCGGTGACCACAGCAGAAGATGTAATGATTATTCTCATTTTCTCTCCTGGTGTAGCCCCATCACCTCCAGCAGTGCCTGGCCCAAAGTAGGGATTCAATAAAGATCACTTCAAGAAATGGTTATGAACCAAAAAGAGAGTGATGAAAGGCTACCTTCCCAGAGGGGGGAAAAAAAAAAAAAATCCAAAGGCAAAATTAAGAAAACCCTTCTGTTTACAATAGCATCAGAAAGAACAAAATACTTAGGAGCAAATGTCACCAAGGAAGTACGAGACATGTGGACAGAAAACCACAAAATAATGCTGAAAGAAATGAAAGAAGATCGAAATAAAGGAAAAGACATTCATATCCATGGATTGGAAAACTCAATAATGTTAAGATGGCCATATTCCCCAAACTGAACTAGATTCAGTGAAATCTCTATAAAAATTCCAACTACTCCCCCACCCCCGCAAGAAATCAACAAGATGATCCTATAATTTGTACGGAATTGCGAGGGACCCAGAATCGCCCAAACCATCTTGAAACAGAAGAACAAAGCTGGAGAACTCATAGCTCCCAATTTTGAAACTTGCTACAAAAGCTACAGTAATCAAAACAGTGTGGTACTGCCCTAGGGACAGGTGAACAGACCAGCGGGATAGACCCAAGAGTCCAGAAATAAACTCATACATCTATGGCCAATTAATTTTCAACAAGAGTGCCAAAATCATCCAGTGGAGGACAGAACAGTTTTTTAAAACATATGGTGCTGGGGCAACTGAATAGCCATATACAAAAGAATGAATATGCACCTTTACTTCACAGCATATAGAAAACTGACTCAAAATGGATCAAAGTCCTAAATGTAAGAGTTGAAACTATAAAGCTCTTAGAAGAATATAGATTTCAATCTTGACCTTAGATCAGGCGATAGTTCCTTAAATATGACACTAAAAGCACAAGCTATAAAAGAAAAAATAAACTGAATTTCATCAAAATTGAAAACTTCGGTGCATCAAAGGGCATAATCAATAAAGTGAAAGAACAATCCACAGAATGGGAGGGAAAATTTGCAAATCAGGTATCTGGTCAGGATCTAGTATCCAGAATATTTAAAGAACGCTTACAACCCAATAATAAAAGACAAACAACCCAGTTTTTAAAACAGGCAAAAGATCTGAATAGACATTTCCCCAAAGAAGATGTAAAAGTGTTCAATAAGCCCACGAAAAGATGCTCAGCATTATTAGTCATTAGGGAAATTAGTGCAAATCAAAACCCCAATGAGATATACTTCACACCCACTAGGATGGTTATAATGAGAAGGAAATGAAAATAATAAAACAAGTGTTGATGACGATGGAGAGAAACTAAAATCTTCATATCGTGCTGGTAGGAAAGTAAAATGGCACACAGCCACTGTGGAGAACAGTCTGACAGTCCTTCAACCAGTCAAACAGAGCATTACCATACAACCCAGCCATTCCATTCACAGGTATACAACCAAGAGAACTGAACACGTACACCCACATAAAAACTTACATGTGGATGTTCAAAGCAGCATGATTCACAGTAGCTGTTAAGTAGAAACAACCCAACTGTCCATCAACTCATGAAAGGATAAAACAAATATTATATACACAATCATATAATACACTTAAATCGTATTTAGTCGGGAAAGGGAATGAAGCACAGATACATACCACAACATGGATGAGCCTTGAAACCAATATGCTAACTGGAAGAACCAGTTGCGAAAGGCGACATATTGTGTGATTCCGCTGACGTGAAATGTCCGGAAGAGGCAAACCCATAGAGACAGAAAGTTGATTAGGGGTTACTGGGGGCTGGGAGAATGGGGATTGTCTGATTCACAGGTATGGGGCATCCCTTTGGAGTGATGACAAAGTTCTGGATTTAGGTAAGTGGTGATTGTTGTACAATGCTGTGAATGTTCTGAAGGCCATTTAGTTACACACTTTAAATAAAAAGGATTTCCATGGTGAATTGTACCTCCATTAAAAAAAAAAAAAAAAAAAAAAGACTTACCAGAGACATTACAGTTAAATAAAAGTCTGGAGTTGACAAAAGGGTTGAGATACAAAGTGGAGTGTGAAATTCCTCTGAGCCACTGACCTTGCTTCTCTGGGTTGCGGACCTGGGACGGCATGTCTTGGATTTCCAAGGTCCATTCCCCCTCAGCCTTTTCTCCCCAGCAGTGCACAGTCATGAATTCCCAGTTTGTAAACCCTTCATTGGAATGATCCAGCAATCTGCAATTGGAGACTCGGGGTGAGAACACAAAAGGGTCGGGAAAGGAGTGGTGGGTAGGGGGCCGGGTCCGAGGAGGGCCGTCTCCCACCTCGGAATTACTCCTTGGGTGACCGCTACAATCATCCCTCTGAACACCACCTCAAGGGCAGCAGCTTTGAGAACGGAAGAAAAAGAGACCTGGCCCTCAGCTGAGGTAAAAGCAGGTAACTGCTTTCAAACCTTTGCATGACGACCGAGCCCTGGCCAACAGCTTCCCCTCCATTATCCCATTGGGTCCCCCAAATATTCTGAGAGGCAGGCAGGCTGGCAGGACTCGCTGTTGCCCAACAGGGACTCAGCCAGCGATGGTCTCCCTCCTGCCATCCTCATTTATAGACCGAGAGATCCCAAGTGTCGTGATTAGTGGCAGGTCCAACGGCCAGTAACCGGCAGAGCTGGGACTCCCTCGAGGGCATTCTGACCCCTGTCCTTGTTCTTTCCAGGACCAAGAAGTGTTTAAGACGTTACCAGAGAAGGCCTTCAAACCTACCCCCACACCCAAAATATTCCTTCAGAAGGTGTGTGATTCCTTCCTACCCCAGTAAGGGATCCTCCAGAGCCCCAGACACCAATGCCTGGGTGCACAAAAGCAGATGGAGGTTAGGCCACATGCCCCGGGGGCATCCCAAAGGAAGCCTTTCTAAAATGCTGGCCTGTGGAATGAATGAAACCTTCACATCTGTCATGGAGCCAGATCTTGTGTGCTCTTCTCCAAAAGATACTAAGAAGGAAAAATGTGCCTGCGACTCTCCAGAGCTTAATGGAGTTTCAACAGGTGCATTTGGGGGAGATGACATAACTAATGGGCCTGGTTGTTTTCCAGTGTGTGCAGGAGGGACCCCTGGGGGCAGCGTGGGGTTGGCGCAGGAGCTCCCTCCCCTCAGCCAGCCTCCCCCTCCGGGGTTCTGATAAGCCTCCATACCCCAAGGTCTTCCCAGACTGGGACTTCAGCCCAGATCCATTTTCTCTTGTTTGACTTGAGCAGGAAACAGGAAGCAACTCACGGATGCCCTCTTTCTTCCAATACCCAGTTCTTCTCCCTTCCCCTTCCTTCCCCATCTAACTTCGCATCTCTTGGAAGAGGGTCTTAATCCGAGGGCTCTTTTGCTTGGCAGAAGTTCAAATGCATGTTTTGTGTGATGTAAGATTGGATTCCTGATTTGGGTGTTCTCTAAACATCCAACGAACGTATAAGCATGCTTATAGAGAGAACGTTCCCTGCGTGGAGAAGAGTGAGGGGAAGGGGCACACCCTGTCCTTTCTGCTAAGAAACTGCAAAGGTCAAGGCTGATTTTCACACATGATGCCAAGCCGAACACAACACACTTGGGACAGAACAAAGACAAACTGTCTTTTAAGGGCTGAAAGACTTAATGAATGTCCACTTAACTCTTCGTGAAAAAAAATACTGCTACCTGAAAAAGCTGCCAAATTGAGCGAGATGTGAAGGAAAGGTGAAGGTAATAGATCCGCAAATACACACACTTGATATAATCACAAAATCTGTGCCTTGGAAAAAAAAACAAATTCCCAAGACAGAGAAGAGTGCCAAGTGGCCGCCAGGCAGGTTTAATGTGCTTGATGGCACAGGAACAGCAAACGGGTCGTCGTGAACCCAACGAACTTGGCAGGACCCACTCTCTTTCATCTGAGGGGCTCACGCTGGGCCTGAGCAGAATGGAGGTCGGAAAAACAGAGTGCAAGCAAGCCAGTGGGGGGAATGCCGGGGGGACGGGGGGGCCTGGAAAGTTCTTCCAGGTTAGGTAGATGGATGGAAGCAGGACAGGACGGGAAGCCAGCTGCACGTGCCAGGTATTTTCTTCTGCATCATCATATCCAGTTCTTGTAGCAATCCTGCCTGCAACAGGAGTAAAGTGACATTTCCGGAGGTGAGGGGTAAAGAGGGGAGAAATGGCTGGCTGCTGGGTACCCCGCTGGGAAGTGAAGGAGCAGGGGTAGAAGCAGCTCGACTCTCTGGGCTCCAAAGCCCATCTTTGGCCCTGGTCCTTGCAGGTCACGGCTGCCCCAACCTCGAGGCCTCACGGTGGCTCTCGGTCAACCCAGGTCACCCTCTGCTGCCCGTACCCAGCTCCTGCCCCGAAGTCAGGGCTCACCACCTCGGATGCCTCCTTGTGTCCAGCCTGCAGCAAACGGGGCTCCAGGGAGGTGACCTCGCGGGAGCCCAGAGAAGCGGAGCCTTGCCCGGCCTCGGGTGCCTGAAGCCGACCCGCCCGTCTGCCCAGCTCCAGTCTGGAGTTCGCACGGGGAACGAGAGCCCGCAGCAGAGGACTTCCAATCTTCCAAGGAATGCTAGAAATCTAGACTTTTCTATGGAATCTCTCAAAGTCCCAGTAATAGTAATTTGCAACTCTGGTTGCAAAAGAGCATAACACTGTGGCTGACCAGCTGGTACTCTCAGGCTGCTCACGGCCTTGCTTGTCTCCTCCGGGCAGAGGCAGAGGGTGGCCCCGGCCTACCCCCAGCGGGGAGAGATGCCCCCTGTGGCTCTTGGGCTACGAGGGTGGAACCTAACCTGGTGGGGCCTGAGCCGGATGGCCAAGCCCTGGGAACCCATGCAGCCAGGATCTGGTCTCAGGGCTGGTTCCGGGGCACCAACCACAAACTCAGTGCTGGCCCGCTGGGCGCTGCCTGTCAGCCCCCTCTGCAGTGGGGTACGAAGTGCAGGGCACAGCTCCCCACCCCTTCACACAAAGGCCGGCATCTGCCTGTCCTTGCAGCAGGCCAATCTTTGTGTCTTCTGCCAAGTAGGGGTGGGGTGGAAGGGGGCTAAGAAAAAGGGCAACTCCTGCCCGGCCCCGAACGGAGGCATTCTCGCGACCCCCATTTCTGAACCCTACAGCCCAACTCGGGCTGCCACCCCAGACAGGTAACCCAACTGAGGCAAGCGGGCCCAGCGTGGGCAAGCAGGGAGTGGGGCCACAGCCCAGGGTACGGGGACGGGCCATCGCAGGGTACCTCCTGAGGTGGTGGGGGACACAGTTCAGTTGCCAGCTCTTTTTCAACAGAAGCCAGAAATGCTCGCTTGTCCTGAAACCTCTCTCTTCCCTCCGCCTCTTAGCTAAGGGAGCCGAAAAGAAGCCCCAATCCCTCTCCACCTCCCCCCAGCTCCCACAAATCCCTTCACACCAGTGACCTGCTAGAGACACAAATGCATTAAAGCACTTCTCCTTGTTTCTGACCTCATGGAAGAAGTGGCTCCATGACTTTCCATGAACTGTACGTGAAACCCCAGAATTCAGAGCCTGTTTCTCGGGCCTTAGGCTTAACAGGGACCCCCTCAGGCCCTTGCATGAGAATCCTGCCCCAGAGCAGCCTCCGGGCGCCCCACGCAAGCCACAGAGCGGAGCCTCCTGCCCACAGAAGTTCAACCACGCTACGTACAACTGGACGACCGTGCCAAAGCTTCGGGAGGCAAGGCAGTCCTCCTCCGATACGCGTTCTCACTTCAGATGCCGAATGAATATGAGAAAAATGATCTTCAGCACACTTCTAAGAGCAATTAAGTCATAGCCAGGATTCCATAAATCTCTCCGTTAAACAAAGCAACCACAAACCCTTGTCACTCCTGCCTGGAAACGAAAGTTTTCCAGGACAGTGTTGAAGGCCAAGTTTCAGGTTGGGGGAGGGGGGGTGGTACGTGTAAATGTCACCAAGAGGAAGCTGCTGGAAGGAAGAACAAACCAGCCTGGATGCCCCGCAGGGATGCTGTGACCTCGGGCTGGATGGGCCCTCCTGTTAAGCCCCAGCCCCTGCCCCAGCCCTGCTAGGCCAGCCTGGCCTTACCTCTTGGCCAATAGTTGAGACTTGGTTCCTGAGGGAGAAATGAGGTGGATCTGGAGGTCTCCCCGGCGCGGGTGGGAAATAGAGATGCGAGCCATCACGTGCTCCAGGTAGCCCACGCGCTGGTCTGAGTGGTCAGCACAGGCAGTGGTCAGGGCGGTGGTCCGAAGAGTCTGCACCACGGGGATGCTCCTGGAAGAGGAGGAAGGGGCTCAGGTCTCCACACCAGAGGCTCCAGGTCTTGCATCGGGGCAGTGGATTCAGGCCCTCCCAGGGACCCCCAGGGACAGCACCAGCCCCTCTTGGATGCTCTCATTGGAGCTATCTTGCCAGCCAGAAGATGTTTGCTGTTCTGGAACTTGCTTAGAGATTTATAAAGAATGGCTTTGCATACAGACTCAGCTAACATACTCAGTGATCAGCGCCCTCAGTGCCCAGGAGCCGGCTTCTCTCCAAGTAGCCTTTGATCAGCTCATTGCCTCAACTGCTGGGGGTCAGCAAGGCTTTCAAACTTCAAACCCGACTACTTTGTTTCAAAGACTGGCCTTGATAATATAAGTCACAATGCTGAATAATAACAGCAAACATTTCCTGAGCGGACTGCATGCTGGGCACTAGATGTAGCATTAGTCTGAGAATTTACAAGGATTGATCCATTACATCCAGAAAGAGGTCACACACAGCTACTGAGAAGCAGAGCTGGGATATGAGGTCAAGTTCAAGCCTCCACCTCTGTGCCACACTGTCCCGCAAGGATGCTGGTGTGGATCCATACTTGTGTTCAAGATACCGAGGAAGAGGAGATCGACAAGGTACCCGGGGCCAGAGCTGGGCTCTTGTGCTAAATGCACCAGTCAAGGCCGCAGTGACTGGACCAGGGTCATGGAGGATGGACAGGATCTGGTCCCCTCCCTCCTGTCGTGCTGGAGACTAGGTTCCCCTCCCTCTCCTGTCCTCTGATGGGAATGGATGACAATTCTCTTAACAAAGTCAAGGCAGTTTTACCACATGGGATGGAATCTGAGGATAAGCATCAAGTCCCAATCATTCACGAGTTAGTTCCACCAGAATCTTCTAACACTCCCTGGAGGAGGTAGATACAAAGGCTGCACCTGCATCCAGGCTGGGCACCCCCATCTATTCTGGGCCACCGCAGCTCGCCCTCACCACTTGCAAACTGAGGAAAGATCTCCCACCGCCCAGCAGCACATTAATTCCCCACTGCTCAGCCAGTGCGCGGTTTATTACGGGCAGCGCTTTGCTCATTTCGCCTCGACTTTCCGCTCAGGAGGGGAGGCTCGAAGCATAGGCTCAGCATCTCTCAGGAATTACATCGCTTGGCTCTCCTGGGCCTGAGTCATAAAAAACAATCAAAACAGCTATAAACAGTGATGTAATTCCTTCGGAGACTCTGTAAATATTTGAAAACATGATTTGCATGCATCATAAATTGATTTAGAGATGCTGACTTCTTTCACTGCCTTCTCCCAAATTTTCCTGCCTGTGTTTACAAGTCAGCAGGCCCCCCACTGCGGCAGATGCAGAACCTTTCCTGGGCCCAAGAGGAAGATCAAGTTAAAGCAGAAACAAAAGCCATCACAAAGTTTTAAAAAAAACCTGCCCCATCCCTCTCACACCTTTGGCCAACGGGGAGGAACAATCACTGACCTAGAAATAGACCTGAAATCCCATCGAGGAATCCTTAATCTTAAGGATAAGGCACAGGATTTCAGAGAACAGGAACAGGGTATGAGAAACCGCAACCCAACCCCACCCTCACCTGCCCACCTCCCTGTGGCTTGTGGTGTCGACATGGAGAGGAGGAAAAAAAAAAAACATCTCAAGGAGTATTAAATACTCTGTGAGATTATTAAAAGCTTCTTGCATTTGACTCTCTCATTCTTGCTAAGGGACTCTAGTTGCTAGGCCACCCCTGAGGTCAGAAAGCTTGGTTGGTCTAATGCACAGGGGCTGCCTCGCAGCTGTCCCGGGGTGGGGGGGCTGGCTGGGGGTAAGCGGTCCACAGCTCCTTCGGGTGTTAAATTCTAGCCTGGTTAGATTTTCAAAGCTGAGACATTACCCCCAGCTGGGGGGCTAGGAGTCCCTTCCTCCAGGGAACAAGGCTAATTACAACAATTAGTTCTTACGAAATGGCACGGTTATAGAGCACCAGACCCCCTCATTTATGCAAGTTCTAGGGGAGGGTGGGGAGCCCAAGACAGCCACTCAAGAACAGCGAGTTGTTACCCTCCTTACGTGCAGTTAGCCTTCCCCACATTTTATTTCTGCTCCCGTTGGAACAAATAACCTAATATTCCAAATCAGGAGATTTTCCATTTCCTTTAAAAAAGGGGGTGGGGGGTGGCAAGAGACTTGAATTATGTTTCAGGATAGTCAAGCTGAAATTTTTCTGTTTTTCAGATAGAAACTCCAAGTAGAAGAGGGGAAGTCAAATATCAAAAGCCATTACTTTGTAAGGATTAACTCTTACCATCAACGGGGGGAATAAAAGGAAGTTATTCCCCATCCTACAGTTATTTCAAAGATAACACAGAAAATGCAAGTTGACTCCAAAGCCAGTTTATTTCTTAGTTTAAACGTGTGGGGATTATCTTTGTCCCACGAACATGGCTAGGTTGTACTTTAACCATGAAAATTGAGAAAGATCTTCAAGTTCCCAAAGTAACTAAAAATGTTGTGCTGTGATTAAATTCTGTAATTGCTGTCTGTGTATGCAAGGCCATCCTCCGAGGACCCTAAAGGACCCCAAGGGGTTAAAAAATCCCATAAGACCTACCTCCAGAACCAGTGATATTTAAACTATGGAGACTGCCCTACTTCGAACCGATCTCTGAGGACAGACTTGTCACTTCCTGTTGAACCACATTTCAGACTTAATTACTGATACTCCAGATGTTCCTCTTTCATCCTGAAGTCTCTTAAAACAGCTCCCTTCTCCTGAGGGGGTGGAGGGTTCCCAGCGACAGGCAGCCTTGACAATGACTTCCTAGTACCTCCAGACCACAACTCCTTCGACCTCCTACCTCTCTCCAATGTGTAACAGCATCTTGTATCTTGTAAATGTGTAGAAACAAGATCCCCATCTACTCAATCCAAGGCCCTCGCCAAATCACAAAGCTCAGACTCTTCTGACATCAGAGTGAAATCCAGAGCCAAAGATAAATATTTTCAAGGACGGGTTTTCCCTGCTCTCTGAAAGTAGAGTGTTCCTATGAAAACTTTCTCAAGCTGAGAGCAAAGGCGTAAAGCAAAGAAGCAATTACCATTCATTTATATGGGGAAAAAAAAAAAAAACAAACCTGTGTGAGCATTCCCAGACCCCAAAAAGTAACCTTTGGCTTTCCTGATACCTTAGGACACATCCTGCTAATGGAGGCACAGAATAAATTGAGATAAAGCATAGATGCTCAAAGACACCGTTCAAAGCTCAGGCAGCTTGATGCTGAGCTGCTGAGTGTAGTTCCTGGGGATGAAGTTTGGGGGGCCCCCTCTCGCTGCTCAGGGTGCATCCTGCCTTTATCACACACAACTTGCTGCAAAACCCATGCTGAATGTTATTTTTGCTTTCTGTCCCCTTTTTGGGTAAAAGCAGAAATCCTCTTCCGATTTCTTCTAGGTACTAAGGCTTTTGTAAAAGCGAAGTGGTCTAAGGTGAGCCTTCAGAAGTGCGAGATACCTACAAACCAAGTGGCCGGGAAAGCAAGGGGGGAGGGGGACCCGTAGCTTACCGGTGGAAACCCTCCACTGTTGCGCTTGTCTTTCTGCCCTGCCTGGGAACCCACGACAAGCCAGTATTTCTCACTCCCACCTTGAATACCTCTCTCCAGCTCAACTACGAGGGCAGATCCGTGCTCTGGCACAGAGCATTTCCAGGGGAATGCCACCTTCCCAAGCTGCAGGGCTGGGGGTGAGAGCAGCCCAGTTCCCCATTGGACAATTCTGAGATCCTGCCGAGTGGGACACCCACCAGAATCGGAAGGCAGGGGTGCCTTTCCCCCTGTTGTATTTGGTACCTGTGTTGGGGAGATGAGGCTGCTGCAGAGCCCAGGACCATTACAGTGGAAAGAACCAGAAGGTCAACCAGGAGACCCTTTCGCAGACCTTCTAAAGGGTAATGAGTGGAGTGGAGAGGGGTTAATTGGGACAGACTTGTTAAATGAAGCTGTATGAGAGCAACTCAGTCTGTTGGAGGACACAGAGTCATCTGAATGGGGACAGTAAGAAGCTTCAGAGTCACTTCTTAGATCTATGTTCTAGGAGGAACCTTCTTGATAGAATGGTCATAGAGTCTAGGGTAGATAGATTCTGTATACTTCTTATTCATATTCACTGACATTTAGGGTTTTCCTTAGATGAAATCCCTTTCGATCATGAAACCACAGTACATCATTTAGGCTAGAAATAATATTTATAAATTTTTATTTTTATTTATTTATTTTTTTGCGAGAGAGAGAATGAGAGAGAGCACGAGAGGGAGGAGGGTCAGAGGGAGAAGCAGACTCCCTGCCGAGCAGGGAGCCCGATGTGGGACTTGATCCCGGGACTCCAGGATCATGACCTGAGCGGAAGGCAGTTGCTTAACTAACTGAGCCACCCAGGCGCCCTAGAAATAATATTTAAAAAGAAAAAGAGGCTAATCCAGTACATTACTCGAGACATGCTGTTCATGATTAATTTGTAAGGTGTTTTAATACACAGTGTTTCAATTTATAGTGCTTATTTTTCTTCTGTGCAAAACAAGGAGCTAAATTAGCTGGCTCTAAACATCCCTTCCAGCCTGAGATTCGATCTGATGGGGAGTGAAAAAGACAATACGATATAGTCAATTCTCATTATTCACGATTCCATATTTGCAAATCCACCTAAATCAATACTTGCGGTGCTTTTGTGATCACTTGTGGATATATGCAGAACTGCAAAATATTTGAGTTGCCCGGTAAACATGTTCCCAGGTGAGGCCAAACAAGGTGACGCTCTGCCTTCTGGTTTCAGCTCTCATAGTGTGAACAAGTATCCTTCCTATGATCTATTTTTAATGCCATGTTTTTCACATTTTTCTTTCTTTTGTTGGTGGTTTTATTGCTTAAAATGGTCCCCAAGCATACTGCTGAGGAGCCGTCTGGTTTCCTAAGTGTCGGACAGCTGAGATGTGCCTTATAGAGAAAACACGT